CGGATCATGTGTACGACAGCTGTTCTCGTATCAACACCCTGGTCCTTCACACTCGCAAGAATAGTTGAGCGATTGTTTCCAGGTTAGTACAAACGAAGATAATCAACAGACAACAAATTTAATATCCTAAAATCTTAGTCGACGTACATATGTTTTCCTTTACACATAAAAGAATGCGAATTTTTCGGATGTGATTGATAAAAAAATCATATTTCGAAGTGAATTACCTCATTTAAAGTACAATGGAATGATTGAAGTCGGAATTGCATTAGAAATATGGTGGCACAGTATATTCATTTTCATCTCAGTTTGGAAAATAATTCTGTTTCGTTTATTTTGTAACTAAAATCATTTCTCTACCTTTTATCTTTTTATATTTTGAACAGGTAAACAAGGTATTCAGATTGCAAAGAAGATGCTGACCAATACATTACTTGCACCTCTTAATATAAGTATCGTCTTCACATGTGTTATCCTTCTGCAGGGTCACACTCTTCGTACAGCTAGAAAAAAAATTAAACATGATATGCCAAAAACGTTTGTAGCTGGAACATGTTATTGGCCATTCGTTTCATTTATTAACTTTCGTTTTATACCATTGAATTATCGACCGATTGTTGGGAGTCTAGCTGGAGCTATATGGAACATTTATATCTCGTCAGCTGCTAATAATCCAAAATTAAATCCAGATGGTACTATAAAAGCGAAAGCAGGAACAGAAACAACCTTATTGGCTGAAACAAGTGGAACGGCAGTGCCAGCATTACAAGAAGCATGGAAGACATTAGACAATAATAAAAAAGATCTGTAGTTCGTTGAATACGACTCTAGTTGAAATTCTAATACTCGTAATTACTCTCGCTTGGTAGACAAAGATCAGCATGTCGATAAAAAATTTAATTTTTTCTACCTCATACTCTTTGTGAAATGAAGAGGTATAATTTATTCAAGCCTTGTACAAAAGATTTTTAGATTAAGAAAAATAATCGTACCTGTGCAAAATTATAATTATAGTTTCTATGTTTTCATTAGTAATCAGTTGATCGTTTCGTCAAAAATAAAAAATCTACGTCAGAAATATCACTTTGAACAATGTATTGTAAAATAAGAATCAGTCAAAGGAACATGGTTCGTTTCAGTTTGACATAGATCAGATCATTGGTATTACAGATCATTTTCCATATTCAAAAATACAACATTGGCATTAGTTTTAGTATGAAAATTTGGTGTTTCTTGCACAAAACTTAAACAAACGAGTGAAAATAAATGAAAAAGTCATGTGCTAATTTCTTTTTGAATCCTGCATAGAATAGATGTGAAAACACTCACAAAATTGGAATATTAGTGCAAGAAATTTCTACGAAAGTACTGATACTTAGTTTTTCTTGCTCTAATTCACTATCCATGTATATCTTTGAAAAACACCAACTTTTTTATGTCAGTTAAATATTTTTGGCGAAGAGTTTTTCTGATACTATCAGTGGTTAAAAAAACGTTATGTAAAATAACGTTTTGAAGCATCGTCATATAGTAATAGTATTTATAGGATTTGTATGAAACTAGAAAAGGTTAACGATATAGTTTAGAATTTTTGAACACAGCATTCGGAACGGAAAAAGATCAATTTTTGAATTAAAATTATAAACGAAAATTTAAATCTCTATCAAGTCGTAAATGTCTGAAAAATGGTGTATAAACACTGATATTAAATACTATAGAATTCGAATGACTTCAATTGAAAATTCACATATCTATTGAAAGATAAGATCGAATAGTTATTACTACAAATATTTTACTCATATTTACCTAAATATCAAATCTCTAAAAATGAATTAATGATTCATTTAGTATCGAAATCTTATGCAAAAACTATCAATTTTCTAATTTGAGTAGTGCTCTGTTTTAGTTCAATTCAGAGCTGTCTGCCTAGCCTGCTGCCTGGTAGACTACTAGGCCAGGCTTAACTTTGGAATCTTCGCCTGATCTGATCCGTCCGTAGGATATTCGGCCTGATATGTAGGCAGGTAGGCCAAGGTTGCTGACCTGGTCCCGATTTAATACGAATTTTGTTACTAAAATCCTTTAAAAATAAGGCGATGTCGTATGTTAATAATATTAAAGAAGAACATTCGACTATTGTAGATGAAAGACGGTTTGTTAGAGTGAAAGAATGATGATAATAGCTACGAGATATTTATTTCAACAAAAATAAATGAACAAACCTAGTTTTCAGTCGAAAAACAAAACTCTTTTCTTTGTTTTCTCACACTTTTCTTATACTTACAATAGACGTATTGGCGTTGTCAATCAAAGAGATGGCACATTTTTATATCAAATGAAAGCTCTCACTGTCAAACTAATAAGGTTAAAAGATTAGTTGCCATTGCAATGCCTAGAGCGAGATATTCGATTTTTACGGTGGGTGGGTGTGGGTGTGGAGTGCGGGTGTCGGTGGGTGTGGGTGTGGGGTGTGGGTATCGGTGGGTGTGGGTGTGGCTTAAAGTATTACCCACACCCACACACCCACTCTTCTGCTACGCTAATACTTTATTTTTTAATTAAAATGAAAAAGACAAATACAGATAAAATTTGGATTTTCATACAAATTTCAAGACAGTCACATAAAGTTGTTTGTAAAAAATACTGCATCAAGCGGTTCAGATTTATTCTAATGAAGTTATCGAGTAGGTGATTTCGAACAAATAACCGATGACCACACTTTGTACGAGGAACCAGAAGACAAAAGTCAAGAAAAAAAATATTAATATTATATTTGAATAGCTTCTTGTGCATTTTTAATTTGCCATCTGTGAGATCTGTCGAGATGGTTAAGTAGGTCGTTCTCTACTAGCATGACAACAATTGTGAGCATAGACTATTTTTCTCTTATCAACGGTCTTTAAATTTCAAATGTCCTTATCAAAATTATTGAACATTATTTATTTGCAAAGCATCGGTTTTATTTTCTTATATTCATCTGTACGTTTTTTATTCGAAACATGTTTCATTTCATGAGAAGCACTATCGAAATCGTGTTACTTTAGATAAGTTACTTCCGTTCTTTGATTATTATCTCCTCAATGATCTGTC